CCTGCTGCAGGGGCAGGGGATCTGGGTGCAGCAGACCTGGGTGTGGCAGAAGCCCTCTTGGAGGAGGTCGCCATTAACCCACCATAGAACTGCCAGAACTTACACTGGACTGGGAAACAGACTCTCAGAAGGCACCAAAAAACCTTGTGTGCACCAGCACCCAGGAGAAAGGAGCAATGACCTCATAAGAGACTGACCCAGACTTGCCTGTGAGTGACCACGATTCTCCGGCAGAGGCATGGGTCAGCAGTGGCCCGCTGCAGGGGTGGGGGCACTGAGTGCAGCAGTGCAAGCTGGGACCCTTTGAAGGAGGTCACCAGTATCCTCCACCATAGTTTGGCCTCAGGCCAAACAACAGGGAGGGAACACAGCACTGCCCATCAATGGAAAATTGGATTAAAGATTTACTGAGCATGGTCCCGCCCATCAGAACAAGACCCAGCTTCCCCCTCGGTCAGTCTCTCCCATCAGGAAGCTTCCACAAGCCTCTTACCATTTTCCATCAGAGGGAAGACAGAATGAAAACCACAATCACAGAAAACTAACCAGTCTGATGACAAGGACCTCAGGCTTGTCTAACTCAGTGAAACTATGAGCCATGCCACAGCCACCCAAGACAGACAGGTCATGGAGGTGAGTTCTGACAAAATGTGGCCCACTGGAGAAGGGAATAGCAAACCACTTCAGTATTCTTGCTTTGAGAACCCGATGAACAGTATGAAAAGGCAAAAAGGACACTGAAAGATGAACTCCCCAGGTTGGTCGGTGCCCAGTATGCTACTGGAGATCAGGGGAGTAATAACTCCAGAAAGAATAAGAGACAGAGCCAAAGCAAAAACAATACCCAGCTGTGGATGTGAATGGTGATGGAAATAAAGTCTGATGCTGTAAAGAGCATTATTGCACAGGAACCTGGAATGTTAGGTCCATGAATCAAGGCAAATTGGAAGTGGTCAAACAGGAGATGGCAACGTCGACATTCTAGGAATCAGTGAACTAAGATGGACTGGAATGGGTGAATTTAACTCAGATGACCATTATATCTACTACTGTGGGCAAGAATCCCTTAGAAGAAATGGAGTAGCCATCATAGTCAACAAAAGAGTCTGAAATGCAGTACTGGGATGCAATCTCAAAATGACAGAATGATCCCTGTTTGTTTCCAGTGAAAACCATTCAGTATCACAGTAATTCAAGTCTGTGNGTTACTTTGCCAACAAAGGTCTGTCTAGTAAAAGCTATGGTTTTTTCAGTAGTTATGTATGGATGCGAGAGTTGGACTATAAAGAAAGCTGAGCACCGAAGAATTGATGCTTTAGAACTGTGGTGTTGGAGAAGACTCTTGAGAGTCCCTCGGACTGTAAGGATATCCAACCAGTCCATCCTAATGGAAATCAGTCCTGAGTGTTCATTGGAAGGACTGATGCTGAAGCTGAAACTCCAATACTTTGGCCACCTGATTTGAAGAGCTGACTCATTGGAAAAGACTCCAATGCTGGGAAAGAATGAAGGCAGGAAGAGAAGGGGATGACAGAGGATGAGATGGTTGCTCAACTCTATGCACTTGAGTTTGAGCAAGCTCTGGGAGTTGGTGATGGACAGGGAGGCCTGGTGTGCTGCAGTCCATGGGGTCGCAAAGAGTCAGACACAGCTGAGCAACCGAACTGAGAACTGAGTTTCACATAGCTCTTTGGTCCACTCCCTTGGTTCCTTCAGACCTTGTTCAAATGTTCTCTTAAAAAAACAAAGGCTTACGTCCCTACTTCCCTGGTGGTTCAGTGGTTAAGAATCCACCTTGCAATACAGAGGATGTGGATTCAATCCCTGGTGGGGGAACTAAGATCCCACAAGCCTTGGAGCAACTAAGCCTGTACCACAACTAAAGAAGCCTTGCGCTGCAACAAAATATCCGTGTGATACAGCAAAGATGCAGCCAAATAAGCAAATAAATACAGAAAAAGAAAGGTCTCTCCTGACCCCTCTGTCTAAAATAGCACTCCCCCAATATAAGTCCCAATTTCCCTCACACTTACACCACAGGGTGTATTTATATCTTGACTTGTTTCTTTCTTTCCTATCTCTCTCCGTGTCCTAGATGTAGGCTTTCTAAGAATCTCCGATGCCTGAAACAGTCTCTGGCATAGAGTAGGCACTCAGTAAACATCTGGGCATGAATGAGCCTGCCCTGTTCTCAGAAGGGAATCTGGGGCCCAGAGAAGAGCAGGGACTTTCCCGAGGTCACACAGGGTGCCAGGCTTCCTGAGACCATCAGATGCAGGACCCGCGCTGCAGCGTTAGGCTCAGTGTGGCTGGCGTGCCCCTCCTTAGAAGCGTGGCTCATTGGAGGCCCCCGGCACACTTCCCTTCCCTTTTAAGCTGTGAGTGGTTTAATTTGTGAGCGCTGCTGCCTTTCATGTCCCAAGCTGTGTCCCGCTCCCTCTGATCTCTGAGGCCGCCCAGACCTCGGTGCCACTTGTTGGCCCCGCCCCCCTCAGCCCAGATCAGGAGGCTCAGTAATTGTGACTGATTTTCAAAGCTGCCTGGAGTCTCCGTAAGCACCCAAGTGTCGGATTTGCTTTTCCTTCAAAAAGTTGCTCAAATGAAATAAACTAATTTAATTTCTGCTTCTTCCTCCCCCTTCCTGGGTTCCCCTGGCTTGTCCAAGTTAAATCCCCACTATTTCCTGAGCGGAATGTCAGAGTCAGTGGACCGGGAAACCGGGATGGGGTGGAGTGGGGTTCCTTGCGGCTGGGCTCATCAAGCTGGGGGCTGGCTCAGCCTCCCACTCTCTGGGTGACCTTGAGTGAGTCCTTGCATTTTTCTCGGTCTGACTTTCCCCATAAGGGACACAAGAACCTTGACACTTCAAAAGCCGGGAGCCCAACCCAGCGATCTGCTGGGTCATTGACTTGCTATGTGACTGTGGGTCACATCATCTCCTCTCTCTAAGCCTTGGTGTTTCCATCTGTTCAATGGGGATGCTGACATCAGTCCTGCCACCTCTCAGAGTCAAAGTGAGAGTGAATGGTGATGGGCAAGCCAGCATGGGGCATATGTGACTGTACCTTCCTCTGGGCCCTCATTCCCATCCACTCTCCACCCTGAGGCAGAGGGAGGCTTCCAAAACGCAAGTCTGCCCACTTGCTTTCTTGCTTAAGCTTTTCCCAGGCTACCTGCTTCCCTCAAGTCCTTTGCATGAGTCCAGCTTCCTCCTCTAGCCTCATCTCTCACCATCTTTCTGGCTTTTCCATGTGGAAACATGCAGTTCAGTTTTGGGTGAAGAGAGACAGGACTCCGTCTCTTTTGGCCAGAGTTTGAGTCCAGGAGTAAGGGCTGCCGGACTTGGGAAATCAGAGGCTTCATAAGCTACCTCTGACTTGCAGTGTGACCTGGGACCCGTCACGGCTCTTCTGAGCCTTAGTTTCCCCACTTGCAAAACTGATTTCTAAGTACTCCCTGGGTCTCTGCCATGGACAGCCTCCAAATTTATCTCTCTACCTCAGCTACCTCAGGTACCTTCAGCTACCTTGCAGCTGAAACTGGATACTGAACTGCCTTTTTCAAGATCTCTCCTCGGCTTTCTAATAAATACTTTCAACTTAGTTCATCTAACCAAACTCATGGTTTCCCTCCATCCCCACAAATCTGTTTCTCCCACTGTTTCTCCCATCTCAGTAAATGGAGATTCCATCTATTTAATTGCCCAGGTCAAAATCTCAGTAGTCATCCTTGAAATTTCTTTCTCTCACACCCCACATCCAATCCATTAGCAAATGCTTTCAGCTCTACCTTCGAAATATACCTAGAAGCCGACCTCTTTTCAGTACCCTTACTGGTACCACCTTATTCCAAGCTACCACCATTTCCTGCCTAGGTAATTGCAAGATGCTTGTCAATGAGCTATCTGCTTCTGCCTTTCCCCCACCTCTCCATCTAATCTTCACAGAACAGTCACAGGATCCTGTTCAAATTAAGTCATATCATGTCACTCTTCTGAACAAGCCCTTCCACTGACTTCCCAGCTTGCTGAGCATAAAACGAAATACCTTGACTATGATCACACGGCTGCCTGATCTGGTCTCTTCTCTGCTTCCCCTCAGAGGGAATTCAGCCCTGAGACCTTTGCATATACTGTTCCCACTGCCTGGACTGCTGTTCCCTGGGCGCAGGTTCTCACTTCTTTCGAGTCTTTGCTTCAGTGTCTTCTTCCCAACCCCAGGATCGGTTTGTTAACTTGCTTCCTGCTTGTCTTCCTTGACCAGAATATCCCTTCCATGAGAGCAGAGAGGCTGGTCTGCCTTCTCCACGCTGTGTCCCAGGTGCCTATGCATATTTGTTAAAAGAATGAATGAATTCATTCAGCAGACACATAAGCTGTCAAATGCATGCACGGGTCTTAAAGGCCGTGCACATTTGTGCACGTGTGAGAATACGGTATGCACAGCAGACAACACCAACACACCTGTGTGTGTGTGTGAACACCAACCCACACCCACATTCAAACCCTCGCCGTTCCCTGTTCTCCCACCATCCTTTGTGCTCACTGTCTTCTCTGGTTCACTCCCTTCTCTTCCATTACTGCCTGCTCGCTCATTACCTACAGATTTGCCCCATCTAGAGAAGCCAGGGGTGACTGTACTTTTCCCCAAGAAACCACGTTCCTCGGGCCTCTGATGAGCAGCTGCAGAGCTAGAAGGCCAAGAAGAGGTAGTCCTTGGCCAAAGAGATGGAATGTGTTCTAGGACCCAGAGCCACTGTGCCCTGTCCAGCCTGGCTTGCAGGTGACTTAGGCTAATGTGGTGGGGAAGGTGGTAGTGGCCGGCTTGCTCCTCAGCCCACGACTCCAGTTTCTACCAGGGTCCCTGGGCTAAGTGATTGTCCAGGACTGTGCCTGGGCACCTGGGCTCACAGCTGTGCCCTGACTCCCCTCCCCCCAGCAGGCTCCCTCTCTCAACCCGGCTGCTCCCCTCCCCCTCTTGCTGGCTCATCCCACCGCCCACCTGTGGGTGAGAGCTCGGCCACGCTGCCAATGTAGGGGCCATGCAGGAAGCGGGGCTCGCTGTCGTTGATGTCCTGCACCTTGATGATGAACTCCGACTCGGGCTCCAGCAGGCGGTTGGTGGCACGGTCCCGAGCCTGAGCCCGCAGTGTGTAGAAGGTCTTCTGTTCCCGGTCCAGGCGCTCCATGGCATGTATGTCACCCGTCAGCTCGTCGATCAGGAAGATGGTCCCAGCGCCCTCGCCCGAGATGGTGTACTTGATGGCCCCGTCACCCTCGTCTGAGTCCGAGTGGATCTGGGGAGGCAGGGAGGAAGGCAGAATGGGGGCCCGGGTGGGAGCTCCTTCTGGCGCCCCACTCCCCCACCAAGTCCCACTGGGGGCCTCTTCCTAAGCACATCTCTTCTTTGACATACCCATTCTTCAGTGAAGTCACTGAGGCTGGAGAAACCAAACGCCATCCCAGTCCCAGGCCTCACTGGTCTGGCACGTTTCACTGGCACTCCTGCTCTTCCTGCTCCAGCCCTGCCCCTGTAATTGACCTTTCCCCCTGCGGCCAGAGATATCAGCCTCAGAGGCAGATCTGAACAGGTCCTCCTGTGCATGCAATCTTCTATGGCTCCCTGTCACCCTTACAAAGAAGTCACAGCCACCTCCACACCTCTCTGCTTCTTCTTTGCATGTCCTGCCTTATTTCTCTGTCTACTGAAAGTCTCCTCATCCTGCAAGGCTTGCCACATCTTGCAAGTTTAAATGCCACCTCTTCTCAAAAGCTTTTTTTTGGACCCACCCCCACCCCCACTCCCACTCCACCTCCAACTCTGCCATTCCGCTCCAAGATCTTTGCAAGACGTCAAGCCATCGTTATCACGTTCACTGTAGCCATGCTTCTTAAATCTTAATGTGCATGCAAATCACCCAAGATCTCGGTAAAAAGCAGATTCTGACCCAGGGAGTTTGGAGTGGGGCCTCAGAATTTGCATTTTTAGCAAATTTCCAAGCTGCTATCCATGACCCTCGCTGGACTGACAGGTCTAGGGTCCCGAGGCTCCAAGCCCTCAAAAGTATCTTCTTACCTCTCTGGAGTGCAGCCTCAGGGCTTGGCATATGGTGGGGGCAGGGATTGGAAGGACAGAGGGGAAAGAGGGATGCAAACTGGAGGAGCGCCTACCATGTGCCAGGCAGTGTGCTGAGCAATTTGCATATTTATTTGGTGCACAGTTCTTTAAAAAGAAAATCACTATTAGAGTAGGTTTTGCTATCTTCACTTTGCAGATTTTTTTTTTTTTCATTTCTCTACTGAGGACTAGAGAAATGGGATGAATTGCTCAAGGTCAGACCGCTGGAGGAACTGGCCTGGTCCACAGCCTGGGAGTTTTCACTCCATCCTCATGCCTCCTGGGAGGAGCCCATGGTGGAGGGAAGAAGCGGTACAGCTTGGTCCAGCCTTGGTGCCAGCATCACCTCCCTGTGAGTTCTCACACAAGTCACTACCTCTTTGGGCCTCAGGTCCCTCCTCTGTAACATGCAGAGCATAATAGCACCTCCTCCTAGAGGTGCTGGAGGGTGGCATGTCTGCGTGATAAGTGGCTTCAGTTGTGTCCGACTCTATGTGACCCCATGGACTGTAGCCCACCAGGCTCCTCTGACCATGGGATTATCCTAGGCAAGAATACTAGAGTGGGTTGCCATTTCCTCCTCCAGGGGATCTTCCCAACTCAGGGATCGAACATGTGTCTCTTACATCTCCTGCATCGGCAGAGGGGTTCTTTGCCACTGGCACCACCTGGGGAGCCCAAATGGAGGGCTAATTGAGTCTAAAGTCCACATAACGCCCTTAGCACTTGCCTGGCACCAGATGATGTTTACAATAGGTAGCAGCCAGCCTGGCACTGGCACTGCCTATGGAGTGGCACCACAGCAGAGCCCCTGCTGGTCCGGGTGGGAACACTTTGAATGCTGGGTCACAGAGAGGTCCAAGGAGTGGAGGGAGCTGAGGGAAGTCAGAGGAAACAGACTATTTGCCGCAGGTAGGGAGCCTCTTCACTATTTTAGCAACTGGTACAACTATACTGGTAGGTACTAGTTGAAAATCAGTCCTGCCTGAGACATAGTAAATGTCCCATAAATGGTAGCTATCATTATTATTATATTATTATTAAATGTTAGCTATATATAACTGGGATTTAATCCAGGCACTGCTAAGCTCCAAAACCCAGGCTGTTTTCACTGCACCGAGATCTCCTGGGCAAGGAACCAGCAGAAAGACTGTTCTCCCACATAGAAACACCCAAGTCCTTATCCTACAACGTGCAAATCTCTCAGGCAGCTCTGAGCAGAAGAAAATGCATCCGAGGAAGTCAGTGACCTTGGGCGGCTCTCTGCTCCTCTCGAAGCTTCCTCCAAGATGGAGCATGAACAAGAGAAGCCGTTTTAAAGGCCCCTTTCAGGCCAGGACGCCATGTACCCCAGCCCACTCAGCACGATAACAGGTGCCAATGAAGTCATCACGAAGAGGAATAAAAGCCCACCCCCTGCCACGCGGGAGGAGCCCGGGTATAAATTCTGCTGGTGGAACTTTGTGTCTGAAAGGTGGATTATAGAAGTGCCATTTGGAAGATTGAATGGCCCATAAACATTTTCATATTTCATTAGCCGATTAATGGGCATCTCTCTCTTTTTGGCGAGTCTGCTGATTCTCAGCAGAAATTGCGGGGAGTAAATGGAGGCGTCGGGTGGAACCTTTCCGGGTCCCTGTCCTGTTATAGATTGCCCCAATTAATGCCCGTCCTGGGCTCCACTGAGAAGCCTTCTTCCTGTCCAGTTACTGTTAATAGATTTCTCATAAGTGGCTGGATTGTAAAAACCTCATAACTCAGTTTAATACCCCCAATAAAATTATCTCAAGACATCAGCCCTGAATCATCGGCAGTGCTGGAGATGAGGAGACCTGTCTCTCCTGTTTGCTGTTTATGCTGTTCCTCCACCTCTGCCCGGAGGAGGTGGGGACCACAGAGAGTGAATGGGTTCCCTTTTCAGATGACTTCACCCACTTCCCAGTCAGACCTGTTGCGGGTTTATTTAATCAGCACACACTCCTCCCCGGAAGTCTGGTGGAATAGATGCCATTTGGAGGAATGCATAACAGCTGTAATCTTATTAGTCTTCATCACCACCCTAATAAGAATGAAATGTCATTCTTAGTTCCATTTACCAGATGAGGAAACTGAGGAACACAGAGGGGAGGTCATTTGCTTGGTCACCCAGCTAAGTGCAGGAAGCCAATCTCCTGAACCCGTCACTCACGCACGTTGTGATCACACCATCTGTTATTTTTATCCCTCTGGGTCCGTTTTTCCACCTGAGAAATTGGATCAAGTCCTACCTGGCACAGACGCGGTGAAGACGAAACAGGAACATGACCTACACACTCTGTAGGGTTTCCCTAGAGGCTCGGTGGTAAAGAACCCTCCTACAAATTCAGGAGAAACAGGTTCAACCCCTGGGTTGGGAAGATCCCCTGGGGAAGGAAATGGCAACCCACTCCAGTATCCTCACCTGGGAAATCCCATGGAAAGATGGATCCTGGCGGGCTACAGTTCATGGGGTGGTAAAAGAGTCAGATATGACTCAGCGACTAAACAATAACACACTCTGTAAGTGATTGTCTCCTTCCCTTTCCGTCTCCTGGGTCTCCATCACACCCCTGAAGCCCTTAACATTGTATCTCAGCCTCTGGCCAGGGATCACCTACCAGTGAGGAATAGAAAGGAGGGAGTGAAACCTAGTGATGATGTCACTGATATTCTTCCATGAAGTGTGACAGAGAGCTCATGCTGGGGTCCAGGGATTGCTCTCTGGGGACAGCAGAGTTGGACAGAGCCAGTCAGCCTGCGGAGGAGCTGAGAGCTCAGAGCTGCAGATTTGGGCTGGGTCGGGGCTGCTTCCCAACGTCACCCCCTGCCTGAGTCCTGGTTCTGGAGTGGAGAGGGAGTGGATAGAGGATCCTGGAGGGCTAGAGTCCACAGGGTCACAGAGTTGCACACGACTGAAGTGACTTAGCATGCACACACATGCCGCTCATTCTATCCCAGGATGGTATTTCTCAAGAATCTCAGCTATGAGGCTGGAGGATGGGGCTTTTATTTACTGAGCGCCTACTACATGCCAGATTGCAAACCTCTGCAGAAGTCTAATTTAACATTGTGGCAGGACTTCCCTGGTAGTCTAAGTGGTTAAGAATCTGCCTGCCAAGGCAGGGGACATGGGTTTGATCCCTGGTCCAGGAAGATCCCACATGCCATGGGGCAACTACCATGGCCCACAACTACTGAGCCCACACTATATAGCCAGTGAGTTGAAACTACTGAGCCCACGTGCCCTGGAGCCTGTGCACCACAACAAGAGAAGCCACTGCAATGAGAAGCCCACACACCCCATCTAGAGAGTAGCTGCCACTTGCCACAAGTAGAGAAAGCCTGGCGCACAGCAGTGACGACCGAGCACAGCCAAAAATACATACATTTAAAAGAAAACTGTGGCCTATGTAAATGTCTCCCCACAGACTGAGATGGTCCCAGGTCTGTCTGACTCCAAAGCACAAGTTGGTCCCTCTGCAGCCTTTGGAATCTGGCTAGTCCACTTACAGGGCTTCCCTGTAGCTCAGTTGGTAAAGAATCCGCCTGCAATGCAGGAGACCCCGGTTTGATTCCAGTGTCGGGAAGATCCGCCGGAGAAGGGGTAGGTTACCCACTCCAGTTTTCTTGGGCTTCCCTTGTGGCTCAGCTGGTAAAGAATCGACTGCAATGCAGGAGACCTGGGTTCGATCCCTGGGTTGGGAAGATTCCCCTGGAAAAGGGAAAGGCCGAGCAGGTCCCAACTGACCTTCTCAGTCAGGCACAATGGAGCGACTTTCACTTGACTTCACTTAGTCCACTTACAACACTTCTGGTTAAGGAAGAGGGAGAAAGGAAGAGGGGGTGGGCTAGAGGGCAGTTATGGGGCTGCATAGCTTCGACAGAGGCCTGTACCACCCTGTACCCGCAGGCCATGGTCATTGGTGGCCTTTTCAATCTGAGCCTCTATCTCATCATTTGGAAAAGGACTTCAAAATCAGAAGAGGTGATGGGCTTTGGATACAGGAAGAGCCAGTTGCCAGCGTCTGCTCTGTCACCCACTTGTTGCCTGGCCCTGAGTGAGAGGCTACCTTCCTCCAAGCCTCAGTTTTCTCAACAGTAAATGAGACTGACAGGGCTTCCCCAGAGTCTAAAGATGCACTAGATAACATGTGGGAGCTC